ACAAAATGCCCTGGATATGATTCCAAGGACTCCTCAAAGCTAATGTAATCAAGAAAAGTTAAGACTGCAAGGTAAACAAATGATCGCTAAACTACCAAAAATCTAAATGAACTTTAAATACACAAACTGAATTGAAACAGAGCTTTAAAATGAAATTTAATTGCAGCAAAAATAAATTAAGTTAAAGTAAATAAAACCCGAAGCATGAAAAATCTACCAGCAGCATGAAATGTAAATTAACAGAAATGGAACTGAACATGAAATTAAATGTCGACATCATTTGATTAAATTAAAAGAAATCTGGAAAACAAATATAAAGGAAAGGAAGCAATCCGATTACAAAGAAATATTATTGAAGGCAGCGAAACTCACCATTACAAATTCGACAAAAGAAGAACCGAATTGCTAAACTAATCTAGGATGAAGCGTAGAGCTAAAATTGAATTAAAGGGCTTGAAACTAAGATGAATCTGAGTATAAAGAAAAATTGTGCTGAGTTTGTTGTGTGAGATGTCGATCCTTTGCTTGATCTTATCATTAGGTATTTATAGCAGCTTGGCAGCATGGTGGAGATCTGCAGCAGCATCCTGAAAGACCAACGGCAACATAATATCTGCAACAAATTGATTAATTTGTTGGTGCTGCAATTATCCTCCTGAAAGCTCGCAACAAAAGAACGATTTTACTACCGTTGTGGAAAAATATCTACCATCATGGGTGATACATGGTAACACTCCATTTGTTGTAAAATTAGGTGTAAACAGGAATATTCTTCTTTATAAGGTGGGAATGGGGGATTTTTCTTCTAATGAGTTTATGTGGCGGACTTTTCTTATCCTGTTCTCTATTTTTATAAAAAAATTAAAAATATATAAATTGATTTTATTTTAAATTTAACCTAACTTAATACATCACAATATATTTTAAATTTAATCTAATAAAAATTAAATTTAATCTAATTTTATACAATTCAACTCAACTCATATTTAAGTCTAATTAAATTAAATTAAATTATATTGATCTTTGTTTATATTTAAAAATTTTATATTTAAAGAACTTTAATTAATTTTATTTAAATTTATAAAATTTTATTCGCTATATTTGAATATTAGTTGATTAAATTTCGAGAATGAAATATGCATTTTAGTATAGATGAATGGAGAATAAAGATCTTGTGGGGATCCCTAGTTTTCTCAACCTTATTCTATCTATGCCATAAATCCTACCTCAAAACACACCAAATCCACTTGAATGGCCATCTTTAATGAATTAGAGTCAAAACTCCTCAAGACTTAGAGGCATCATGCTATTGGTGATCTAAACACACCTCAAACCACATTTTCAAGAGTCAACCCAAAAGAAACCGCATGATAAGAAGATAAAGATTGTGGAAATATGCAAGTTTAATGAAATATACCTTAATTAATTCTGTACCTTAGTGCAGATTAAATTATCCCTAAATACGTATGCTTATTTAATAATACATAAAAATTAGGTTAAAACCTCATTTTGGTTCTTGAATTATTGTATGGACTCTCGATTTAGTCCCTGAACTAAAAAAATCCCTGATTTGGTCCCTATTGTTTACCGTTTTAATTCTAATTTGGTCCTTCCGTTAAAAATTCTACTTATGTGTCTAGTTAGTTTATTGTAACATGATGACATGGTAATATATTAATACACGTGAAAAACAACTTGGTAAAAAATAGTGACATGGAAAAAAAATATTAATATGACAATTTTTTTTTAAATTCATTCTCTTTTCTTTTTCTTTCTTTTTTCCCATTTTCTTTCCCTTGGGGTCCTAGGGTTCCTTGGAACCAGGCGTGGGTTTGACGAAACCCAAGCTTGGGTTCCTTGGAACCCGCCGCTGGGTTTCGACGAACCCAGGCGCGAGTTGGGTTCCCTCCAATCCACGCTTGGGTTCTTCGAACCCAATTGGTTCGCCGTTGGGTTTTTTGGAACCCAGGCATTGGGTTCGAAGGAACCCAGGCGTTGGGTTCCCTCGAACCTAGGGGTAAAATATATATATA